AATTACAAGCACCATAAAAACAAATGTAATCAAAACAGATGTCTGACTTCCATGGTATGTAGATGAAATATATGAATCATAATACAAAACTACTGAGTTCAAAACCACCTTTAAGACACGCGTTTTCTGCGGACCTCTCTCTAACCAAGAAATCTTAATTCCACATTGCAAAGTTTTGAAAACTATTAATATTCCACACAGTTTAATGGAGAGCACTTCTCCCCACCATCTATACTGAGACATATATTTACTAAGTGCTGACAGCTAACTTGCACAAGACTCCCAGGGAGATCTGGTCCTTGTTCTGTGAATTTACAAAAACTGGGCTGAAGGAGCCAGGAAACACAACTGTATTTTATTATTAATTAAACAATGAATTTGTGAGAGCATTTTACTCTGAAGCGATGGTAAGCCTTGCAGGCAAATGCCTCCTTCAGTAAAGGTTTGAAAATTATTTTTGTTTAAATAACAGCTGGTCTTGCCTATATGGACTTAAATGAGCCATGTGGAGACAAACTTGTTTCAGTTTGGGTAAGAAAGATTAAAAAACATTAATTCTAGTTAATATCCATTTTGGTCCCTCTACACAGATGGGAAAAATAACATTAAATTACCATGCTTACATACAGTCAATACCAGACACCCAATAAAGCACAAATTCAAAGCCTTGCTCATAAGGCAACCGATGCACACAGTTCCAGCAGAAAAGCTCAGCTGCAAGTTAGCCTGAAACAAAGGAGATTCACATTCGTTTCTCCACTTTGCCACAGACTTCCTGCATGACCTTGGAAGAGTCACTTGGGTTTTGTGTGCTGCAACCCTCCATCCCTAAAACGGGGAAAAACATTTGTTTCATAACCTCACAGCAATAAGCAGATTTACTATCAGGAGATGCTTAGATACAGAGGTCAAATAAATGACATAAAAAGAATAAACAGTACTTAAAGTTTTAATTAACTTCTGTTAAAGCTTTGGAAACTTTGTCACAGCGACAGAAAGCAAGCTTTGGCACAATACTCACAAGTGTTATCTACAAACAACGATCAAGTCTGCCTATGTAGCAAGATAGAACCATATTTTGACATCTGCAGACAGTTGCGGATGCAGACTTCCATGACCCAAAGCAAAGACACAACATACTCCTCTGTCACCGACATATACAGAGACCAAAAGTCCAAAGTCTGTAGGTACCTTCTTTGAGTTCTAAAACAAGAGTTGTAACTTTCTGATATAATACAAAGTAGGAGAAGAAATCACCAGGTTGTCTCTTAAAAGATTTACAACACTTTAGGTCCAGTTATTCTCCAGTTCATATTAACCACTAACCACCTTTTGAACTTGAAAGCCACATTTAACTTTCGTAACTCCATATTAATATCAGAAGTTAAATCACATTGCAGACGACAGAAATTAAAGACCTCTAGAGTAGCAGCCTACCAAAAATGATGAAGAGGAGTAAGAACCAAACAGAGGTAGCCAAATGCCACACATACACTGCACTAGGACACTTCTGAGGACAGCATTGCCTCTATCAGGAACCCACAAATTTGTGACGTGTATTAAACATATCTTTTTAGAAAATGTCTGAGTCCCAAAAATCTATTTTTTGAATGAAGGCCAAACATAGACATGCACATATTCTGCACCTCTGTACAAGTAACTGTTCTAGCCTGTGTAAAATCAAACCCACAGCCTAGGGAGGGAGACGTGGGGGGCAAAGGGACTACAAGAGATGATGAAGCAGCCAATGAGAGATGAGCATGGGTAAGCATTTGGGGGACACAGGCAAGCTATGGAAAATCAGAAGCAAGGAGGCTATTGAGGAGAGAGGAAGTTCTGGGATAAAATTCCCAATGTATTACCCACATATGTGTAAAACCCACACAGCTGCTCAGTCACAGGGTGTTGAGTGTGCTTGGGGTTTGGGGGGTTTTGTTTGTTTGTTTGGGTTTTTTTGGTTTTGTTTTGTTTTGGGGTTTTTTTTTGTTGCTTTTTTTTTAAAAAAAAAACCCAGATGATATGTGGGTTACACACATGAAAAATCCGGTCACTGCGAGCTACAAAAATAAAAATGAAACTCATTTGGTTTTAAGCTATTTTGTTTGAAATATCAAATGGTTTTCATTATTTGTAATTGCATCTTATATGTGGTGTTTTATAAGAAGAAAAATAAAACAGTTCTTACTAAAAATCATTTACAACCCAAAGCTTTTTCTTTCAATATGCAGAGCTGCTCTGGGATGTCTTAAATATCTTCAAGTCCCATTACTGCAATAAGACTGGAAGAACAGCACTTTGCAATGAGGCCGAAAAACTAAAGCACGGCCGACAACAAACCTATCAAACACTGGGCACGGAACAAAGGAAAATACAAAGGTGGTGGTGAGGGGTGTAAGAACAAACGTCCAGTAGAAAAAAAAGAATACGACATTTCCAATATAACACAGGATAGAGTTTCGGATGCACATTTTCAAATCCGACTTCTGAGACTTTGGCACCCCTCAAGTTGACAGCAGAATAGGCAGTACCCGATACTGTATATAGCTCCCTGAATATGTAAGTTTTGAGATTGGTCTTGCAGGAGAGAGCAAGATGCCTAAAAGGAGGACACCTGAAAAAAGTGGCACAAAGGCAGCAGAGAGATGAGGGGCCGGAGATCAGAGGAAAGGTGAGGATAAGCAAAGTCATGAAGGCAGGAAATTGAAACTAAGTTCTGGGACTATGTATTTAATACCTCCCTCACAGCATGCTAACAACATTCATACAAAAGGGAAAAAAAAAAAAAAAAAAAAAAGGCAGTGACAGTGTTAGGAAGCTTCCCCGGAGCAAATTTCAGGAACCTTAAACATCACGCAGCAAACAGAGTCTCTCACTTGCTTAATCTCCTCACACTCACAAATTGACTATTTCTATTTCTTTTTCCACAAGAGGTGAACTTTCTCCATAACTGCGATAGCCGAAACTCATCTCGCTGCTGTGGCAATCGGCACCTGCCTACCCTTTTACAAACCAGCTGCTACCGAAGCAAACTCCCAGTGCTCGACTGTGCAACTGGAACCTCGTTAGCCATAAGCTGAGCTGCTCTCAGCACTGTCTTTACTGAAGCGGGATGACTTCACCCCAAGATGAGCAATACCAAAACTCCTTTGGTCACAAACACACACACAAACCCCTCCATTCATGTTTTCCTATCTATCAACATATTAAGAGACAGTAACAATTACACTAGTTTCATGTATTATTTGCAAGAGTTGCCAGACTTCACTGTCACTCGTTTGAAGGTCGGAAGGAATGCAGAATACTTGTAATTGCATTATAGGTGAAGATTAATCATCACTAATTGTAGCATGAACAAATTTTTACCATTAGAAATACTGACAAAGGCTGAAACAACACAAACTTACTATGTGGGCCTTGAAGTGCACTATCCTCAGTGGTCTATGTAATTAAAAAAAAGAAAATCAAAACCATATTCTATTTTGACAGGTAGGCTGCTAGCTCATCTTTACCTGTAAATGATGCCAATTGAAACAAGGACAAATTAGGGTTCTAGTATTATTTAAACAAACCTTCAGCTGAAATCTGCAATCTGATATACTCATATACTATCACAACTTTTGGATAGATTAGCAAAGTTCAGACTGCATTCCCAGCACCTCGATCATCCAGACTCGGTTATCTAGAGAACAAGCCCCAGGGCCTTTCTGAGCTGTACTTCTGGGTTCCTTTCCCATGAAAATCAGGGTATGGTGGGAGGAGGAGGGAAAAGCACGTGGACTTCATCCTGACACAGAGCCAGGATGCACACAGGACAGACACCTCCAGCACAAGAGCTGGAAGCTCTTCTAACATTCTGGTAGTCATTATTGTCACTAAAACAATATTGCCACAGCTAAAGATTTCAGACCTCATGGGTTATCTTCCAAACAGCACAAAAATCTTAGTATCAGCCTAGACCCATCCCTCCTTTCATTAATTATGATCCTTGGGAGTGGTACCAAAAGAGTGGCTCTGGACCTGTCAGGCTCTTACACTAATGTCTCCCTGCAGACTAACAGCAGCAAAAATCTTCAATACAAAGGTTCATGTGCGTTTGTGGGTGGCAATTTGATAGTAAAAAGACCAACTTAAACGGTTATTTATAAACAGAATGTTCTCCGATTTCTGCTGTTACCAACATCATAAGGCCCCAAACCTCAGCCACAGCAAGAAGATAGGAACAGAGTTGTGCTTTGGCGACTACAGCAAACACAGACCAGACCAGAAGCCACTTTCCTCTCAAACGAACAAGAACAACCAAAGCTGTTACACTACTACTGTCTCCCCTCTAAATGCAAAGAGGCTCGGGTCACCATGCAATGAACCAAATCAACCTGCAGATGTTTTAAACAAACGATACAAGTTTCTAAAACATACTTAAAAACAAGCTGCTCTATAAAGGGCAACAGAATATCCCTGCTTTTTCTTCCATCACCTAACGTGTGCTTCTGTAGGGCGCCCACTGAGTGACGAATTCGCGCTTCTCTTCCACTCTAAGTTACTGTTCACAACAGAACTCTCTGAGCTAAAAAGCTCGTAGCGTTTTACTATTCTCTGCTTCCTTGGCAGGACTCTTATTTATATAAGATTAATGCATTCAGGCATTAGATTTATAAACCAGAAAAAACAAACAAGGAGAAAGTTTTCACACTCTTCTTTCGAGGCCAGTTTCAGAAACATAGAAAGTATTGATATATGACAACAGATTGAAATGCAATTGTTAAAAAAAATGAAAACAAAACCCCAAAACAGAAAACTTGTATCAAAACACATATAATCTCTGGAAGCCCCCCCTACCTGGAAACTATTTAATGTCATCCAAGCATTCACAAAAGCACTGTCAGCCACCTAAAAAGCCATTCCTCTGCTCTATCCAGAGCCTCGGAGGACATTACAACACACAGGCACCCTTCAGCCCCTCGCCTTTCCCCACCCTCCTCAGGTAAGGAATCGACACCAACCTGCAGTTGGGAGGTGGATCTAAGGTGATGTCAGCCAATTCCTTCTGAATCCTGTGGCAATAAAAGCGAAAAGGAACAAAGGTAAGTCACTGTGGGGGATAGCAGTTAATACATACTGTCACCGTAAGTTTGCAATGCTATGTAAGAGAGAAGCACTCTCAGCTGCAGCCTCCCACCAGTCCAAACACAGCAAGACAGACGGGTGCCCAGTTACAGAGATGGGCAGAAAAGCGGATGGGCACCAAGCACTGAACCCAGACGGATGCACTGTTGGATGCTCCCATAAAGATGCCAACCACACAGAGGCAGTGGAAAAGACCGTCCGCTTTACTCTGCCAACCAGCCTGTAAATGAGGGAAAACCTCTGCAAATGTGATGCACCAAGTGCTAGGAGGAAACTGCAGTCTGAAAAGGAATTTTGTCTTGCTGGATTGAGAGAAACAGTCATTGCCAAATTGGCTTCCCCCTCCCCTCTCCTCCCCAGCTTCCCGTCACCATCCTGAGAAAAAACACTGGCCCCAAGGGAGCGAATACCCATGCCATTCCCAAGGACACTTAAAGGAAGGTGAATATCTATTTCCGAGGCCCCCGCACCTTCCTGCCACCTTCAATTCTCCCCTCTCTTCACCCTCAAGAGCCACACAACATCCCCACGTCCCCTCGCTCAGGGCTCCAGACGCTCCCTCTCTTCACCGCGTTCAGACAACACCCTCTCCTCCCTGCCCAGACTATTCTGGGCTCGCGTTGCTTTTGCCACAAAACGCCCAACCAGCTATCATCCCCTTCCCTGGAGTCCCATTACTGTCACTCAGGCTTCCCCTCCAGATTTCCCCACCCAGCACTCAGTTTGCCTCCCTTCTCCTTTAAACTCAGCCAGCATCTTCTGCCTCTCTTCCACTTGTCATACATGAAAACCACAGCCTTTTCATATTAGGCAGTTTACAATCTTTTTAAAATAGTGAAGGGCAGGACACGTAAACACCGCTTGCCACTATCTATCTCAGTTTGCCATGGAAACCTGCTGAGTGGAGATCCGGAATAACCAAACTGCCTAAATTCTACAAAGCCCCAGGGAACTTAGTTGCGACGACAGGGCATTTGCATAAAACCCCAGTCACTTTTGACACCTACAGATACAACCTCTCTGTGCTGCCTGGCAAAGCTGTTCAGTGAGACGGTTTATTATTCTTACTGAAGTACTGCAAGTTTGCTTGAAAACTTCCATTTGTCAGCTTAGCTCCCTGGAGCAGGATGGTGCTGAATTCAGGTGAAACACAGAATAAATAAGAAAGGGTAACAATTAATTTTAAAAAAAACCACCAAACTGAGTGGCTCCAAGAGTCTGTCCAGGTGAAGAAAACTGACATAGCTGTTCTGGAATTACTATTCTATGCAGGCATCTCTCCCCCATGTAGACACTATTCTGGAATAAAAATTATTTCATTCTCAAAAAAAAAAACCCCAACCCACTCTGCTGTGAGCAAAGATTATTTTAGAGTAGAATGTCCACAAGTGGACCTGCTGCGGTTTATTTATTCTAGTCAACATCCAACATACACAGAAAATTCAATATAAGTGATGAGCAGACAGAAAAACAGCAATATATTTGGTGGAAAAGATTTGGGGCTACACTACACCACTTGCACGGGAGTGCACTCCCCCAGTGCAAGCAAACTCAAAACTCTTTGCAAATATTAGTTAATCCTCAAAGCAGTCCTGGAAAGAAAAAAGCCATTCTAGATCAATCCCAACCTACAGAGAGGGAAACGGACAGTGAAACACAATGCCCTACTCAGGACCACATAGCTTCCAGGAGCAGAGAAGGAATTGAGGTCCTACATGCCAATCCTACACAGGCCTTTAAGTGATGCTAATAAGGAAAAAGGAAAGGACAGCGGAAACAATTGAGGGACAGAATAACAGCCCAGAGGAAGAAAAGACAGGAAAATATTTGGGATGGAACTGAGGAAGAAGCAGGAAGAGAGACCAGAGAGCAGTGAAGTTGGGCAGACACTCGCTGCACCAAGACGCTGAAAAAAAAGTGAGACAATGGCAGCTTCACGTGGAAAGGCTGAGCATAAGGGCTAGAGATGAGGAACGGGAGCACCAAGAGAGCAGTGGGGGAACGGAGCAAAATAAAATGAGGAAGGAGGGAAGATGCAGTGAATCAGTGAGAAAACTGACTGCAGCCTCACCTCTTGGCACTGGTAGATAGCAGCTTAGAGTTTTTACTCATGCTGACTTTGCTTTCCTTCTTCTTAGGCGTGCTTGTCTCTTTCTCTGTCTGTTGGTTGGAGGATGAAGATGAGGAGGAGCTGGTGCTGGCCCTTGAATCGTCATCCGACATAGCGACCCCCCCACCACACACCCCAACCTGGAGAGGAGACACCATGGGGCGTGGGGAACAAACAGTGAACACAAACACACACAGAGAAAGGCCGCTGACAATCTCACTCTGTGTTTGGGTCATGCTCCTTTTAAAGGATCCTCGTGTCTCCCTCTCCTCTTCAGGCCCTACGGTCGAAGCAGGAGGAGCAGTAGCCTCCCCTGCACTAGCAACATCGAGGAGCAGGGGGAAAGGGACTTTTAAAGCTTCCTCTCAGAAAGCAAGTGCGAAATGAGAAGAGACTGGAATGAGGACGTCTGTGAGGATCAGGGAAGCTCAAAGCAATTCCTTCTAATCTCCCCCAAACTGCACACACAAGAGGAGCCATCACCACCCACCACTATCCAGCCTAGGGGTGTAGGAGATAAAAATGGAACAGCTCCGGTCCCTTGGGTTCCCGGGAGGCAAGTGGGGGAGGCGGGAAGGGACAGGGGGATGACTGTCGCTAGCACTAAAATGGAAGTGGGGCATCACTGGCAACAGGGGGGAGACCCCAAAGGAGGATCTGTGTCCTGTGGTGGGGAAACCCCTGCCTCCTGGATAACCCCTGCCTGCTGGATCGGGTGCTGGGAGCAGGG